TCCCTACAAAATACCTATTAATTCAAATCTTACAGTGCAGAAACCTGGCACATACCACTTCATCCAAGGTGATCAAAGCTACCAAATGACAACCAACAATGAGACAAACCAACATCATGGATCTCCTCAAGTGCACTGCAATGGATACAGTATCACTTCTGAGGTATTTCCCAAAATGTATAATCTAAATCTAATCATGAGGCAGCAACTGAGAAATTCAAATTGAGAGACATTCTATGAAATAATGGCCTGAGCTCTTAAAAAAATATTAGTATCATGAAAGACAAAGGAGGCTTAAAGAAACAGCCCAGATTTTAAAAGACTAAAGTCATATGAAAATTAAATTTAATGCGTGATCCCGGACTGGATCCTGAACCACAAAAAATAATTGCTATGAAGACCAAGGGCAGTTGGAGAAATCAAAACGTGGTCCACAGGCTAGATAACTGTATTGTTTCATTTCTTGCTTTTGATCAGAGGGTTGTGCTCTTTTTTTAAGTAAATGTCCTCATTCTTAGAAAAAATATACCAAAATATTTAGTAGTGAAAGGGTATGAGAGGAGCTACTTACTTTCAAATGATGAAAAAAATATATTATCTCTATATATGGAGAAAGTGGGAGTGACAAAGCATATGTGGCAAAATGTTGACAACTGGTGAATCTGGGTGAAGGGTACTCAGGAGGTCTCTGCCCTATTTCTGCAACTTTTATTTTAAAATTATTTCAAAATTAAAACTTTTATAAGACATTCAAGGGGAAGGATAAAATAAAATTTCACTTCAGAAAGGCCATAAATAATAGGGGCTTAAAGAAATGGAGGCTCCATATGTCCGCCTTCTATGCTAGAATTTGAATCTACAAGTCAAACTGTTGGGGGTTGGCGGCGGGGGGGTGGGGAGATGCTTTTACTTTTCAGTAAAGCAATGTACTTTTTCAATGATAAAGAAAACATATATTTAAAAACCCAAGCAAGACCTGAACTACGACTGTGATTTTTGCTTTCCCACTGTAGCTGCAGATTTGTTCACGTCTGTCATGACCTAATATGAAAATCAAGTTCCTACACTGGAACTGCTTCACATTTATCAGTTATTTGTTATGTCCTCTTCAGTGTTACAAATATGACGTAAATAATAAAGCACAAGTTCACGACATCCCATTCACCCAACTACCTGACATATTCAAACTAAGGAATTTAAGGCTAAAATGTAAGTATTGCATTTTGAAGATTAATACTTTAAGCAAGTTTGATTTAATATATCTACACAAAACTCTGCAGCTAACAGATATGAAACATCTCTTTAAGCACAGACTTACAAAATTTGTCCACATACAAAATCACCAACGGAGTAGCAACAAATTTCAGAGACAATATTAATATTATACAGATTATGGTCTCTGACCACAATGAAGTTAAATTAGGAGTCATTTTTTTCTAAAGTTGTATATTTAGAAAATAAAACTATAGCATGGCTCAAACAATCCATGAATTAGAGAAGGAAATTTAAAATGCTGAGAACTGAATGACAATGAAAACAATAATAAAAAAAAACGGTAAAGTGCAGCTGAAATAGTACTTAGAAGTAAATTTACATTTCTCTTCATTCATTAAGTAATCAACTTAAAAGCTTTTTAAAAAGATCAGTGGGAACTCAAAGAAAGAAGAAAAGAAACAGAAGAGGAAGAATTAATGAAATAGGGGGCTTCCCTGATGGTGCAGTGGTTAAGAGTCTGCCTGCCAATGCAGGGGACACGGGTTCGATTCCTGGTCTGGGAAGATCCCACATGCCGAGGAGCAACTAAGCCCATGCACCACAACTACTGAGCCTGCGCTCCAGAGCCCGTGAGCCACAACTACTGAGCCCACGTGCCACAACTACTGAAACCCACGTGCCTAGAGCCATGCTCCGCAACAAGAGAAGCCACCGCAATTAGAAGCCCGCGCACCACAAAGAAGAGTAGCCCCCGCTCACCGCAACTAGAGAAAGCCTGTGCACAGCAATGAAGACCCAACACAGCCATAAATAAATTATTTTTTTAAAAAAGAATTAATGAAATAGGAAAAAAAATCAAAATAACAACTGGTTCTAAGTGTCCTGCTTGAAGTAGACATATAGTAAGCAGCAGTGTAGCGGAGTGAAAAGAGTATGATTTTTCTTTTTTTAACTTAGGCTCAGTCTGAGCTCTGACACTTATTAGCTGTGTGACCTTGAACAAGTGACTTAACCTCTTTGAGCTTCAGTGTCCTTATTTGAAAAATAGGTATACAGAGTTTTTCAGGGTTATATTAGTGAAACAGGAGGGAAGGGGGCAGGGCACAACCTTTGAAAGAATGACATAGCCCTTGAGGTTAGGACATAAAACAGGTTAGAGCCAATTAGGTCCAAGAGGGCAGAAGATTCGACTTCCAGGAGACCTTGAGCCTCACTACATGCCCATTGTAATACATTAGCATATGCTAAGTGACACACCCACAGGCGCCATGACAGTTCCGAGGCCAACCATAAAAGGCCAAGAAGTGAACAGTGGTGGCCCAATTCCTGGAAATCTCCGTCCCTTCTCCAAGAGAGTTGGAATAATCCTCCCACTCATTAGGCTATGAAATTACTCAGCCCATAAAAACTAACCACTCCATATTTTGGGGCCTCTTGCCTTCTGAGATGGCCCACACTCTGTCCGTGGAGTGTGTTTCCCCCAGGGCCACTCTCACCTTTTCAGATGGACCACATTCTGTTTACGGAATGTGTATCTCTCTAAATAAATCCACTTCTTACCTATCACTTTGCCTCTCACTAAATTCTTTCTGTGACGAGACATAAAGAACCTGAGCTTCATTACATCCTGAGACCAGATGTGTGATCTCAATTAAAAGACAGTGGGTTCAAGTCCCAATCTGGGTTTTGGCTGGGTTTGAGTCCCAGCCTGTGGGTTCGAGTCCCAGTCTGGGTTTTGGCTGGGTTTGAGGCCCGACTTGTGGATTCAAGTCCCATCTGAGTTGTGCTGTTTCATTAGGAGTAAGTTAGATACATTGTGTCAAAGTAAAAAGCAACAGATCACCCAAGCCAATGTAACACATGTCCTCCAATTTATAAATACATAAACACTGAACACTCCAAACAGCCAAAAAAAATCGGTTTTAAATATTTTTTAGATGGTCTTATGACCTATTGAAATACAGTTATAACAACAACAATAAAATAAACTCTTTTCTACCCAAAGTACTTGCTAAATTTTAGAAACCTGCTGTACCTACCTAAGGCAGATCCTGTTGCCTACCCAATATCATTTTCCTCCTCTTCCTTAGGAGAAGTTGAAGGTAGTAATATGCCCAACTGAAACTACTACATTCTGTCTCCCCCTCAGATGGGTTGACCATGACATAATTCTAGCCAATGAAATATAAAGCAGACCATCATTGGGCTGGGCTACTAGATTCAGCTAGTAAATGCCGTTGTCCCCCCTCCCCATTTCTTCATTTCCAGAGTATGGTTGTAATGGCTAGTGCTCCTTGTTTCCATGCATCTGCTTCCTTATTATACTCAGTGTTCAGCATGGGATTATATTTCCTAAGGGCCAGGCTGTTGAGTGACACTGTTACTCATGCAAACA